CTTTGGGTGAATTAGGTTTAGGATTAAAGTGTGTGTTAGGGTTAGGTTTAAGATTGGGGTTAAGATAAGAGTTTGGGTTAGGATCAGGATTACGGCAAGGATTAAGGTCTGGCCTCGTGTTAACTATAGGGTTTAGGGTAAGGATAAGGTTAAGATTAAGACACGGGAAATGTACGTTTCTGGAAATTTATCGCAAGTGGGCGGGGCATTCCTATTCCCATGTCCTGTTTAGGTGGCCATACGGCTCATTATTACCCAAGAAAATAGGCATCCCTCCTGCAATTTAGATGGAGAATACTCGTATTACGTGAGGTAGACTCTTATTACCACGCAGGTCACAGCTGCAAACTAAGGCTAATAGATAAAGTGAAGAGAAATTTACGATGACGATCCAGTACATAAATGCAAAGAGTTTCTTGCTCTGTAATATGGCTTCGTATTTGATTTAGGTAGGCAGCTTATGCTTACGTTTGCATCTGTTATGTGGGAAACATTTAGATGGGTGTTAACGATCAAGATTACGTTTAAGGGCTAACGTATGAGTTAGGAATTAGTTTAGGGGTTGGGATAGTAGTAGGTTACGGAGTAAGAGATTAGGTTTTAAGTTGAAGACTTGGAGTTGTTTGGTGCAGAGGCAATTTCTGTTTTTTGTTCTGAATGTGAAGTTTTCCCTGCCCGGCTGATTTACTGCCTCCTTTCCAGATTTCTGCTTTTTTGTTTGCCCCGTTCACCGTAAAAGTTAACTGTTTGTGTGGGTATGACTCTGAACGTAGGGTGCAGTCATCAAAGTGTAGGCCGCTGCCGTTGCGTCACACTTGCAAAGCCTGCGGAAATGCAGCCACCTGGCCAACGTTCACCCGACGCAGCTCAGATGCCGTCCCAACTGTACCTTTCAAAGTTTCTGAAAAATAATTTGGGTATAAGTAAGCCTACTCGGGAAGAAAGAATAATGTCCCACGGAAAGCCGAGTCCAGTTGCTTGGGGTTGTTTGGTTTGTTACTTTTAGATGAAACCGGGTATTTGGATTGGGAACTTATTGGATGATAATAATTAGGCTTAAATAGCGTCATTACCTGGAAGTTTATTAAAGACTAATAAATTGGTGGAAATAAGTATGATTAATTCTCCCTGTATCCTTTGACATTAGTCGTCTGCCCTGTTTTGTGTTTGCCCGAGTTATTTAAAATCGCCTGCTTTCTTCAAGATCAATAATAAGATATTTAAAAAAGTGCATTCCCGGATAAATTAATTTGCCTTGTTTATTTGAGTTTATTCTCGGATTTCTTACTAACCTATTTGATGTTTTAAATTTACGTTACGTCTGCCAGGCGAGTTCCAAAGTACTTAAAGTTTCCCGCAGCCCGGTCACTGTCCCCAGACAACCGGTAAGGTGTGCTTGCATTTTGTTCCGAGACAACTGCTGCTCCCCAGCTGCCTTACAGCTCCCTTGCCAGTTTCTGCTTATCATTTCCATCCTTTTTGTTTTCCGAATTCATGGTATTGATGTGTTTAGAAGTAAATTGTCTGTATGGGCATGGCTGTGAATGTCGGGTGCAGTCATCAAAGTGTAAGCCACTGCCACTGCGTTCGACTTGCAAAACCTGGCGAAATGCAAGCAGCCGGCCAACGTTCGCTCGACACAACTCAGATGCCGTCCCAGCTGTACCGTTCAAACTCTGAAAAAAGGATATAAGTAACCCTACTCACAAGAAAAGAAGGGTATCCCACGGGGAGCCGAATTTAGCTTTTGGAGGTTATTTAGTTTTTTACTTTGAGCTGAACCGGAAATTCGGAAGGGGGGGTCTATTTGATGCGAATAATTTGACTTAAATTGTCTCGTTACTTATACATATGTAAAAATGATATTACCATCTAAAAGGTCGACATTAAAGGACAAACACATTGTTCGATGCTGATGTGGACGAGACCTCTGGCCTTGCAATTTAGTTTCTCCTTCTAATAGATGAAGGCTGTTGACTGCGACGATATGTTTGGCCGCGTTGCCGAACACTTTGTTGTGGGATAGCATGCTTCTGCATTCACGGGTCAGGCCACCCAACCTCAATTTTTCTTCGTTGTAGTGTGCTCTCATTTGCCCATTTAGCGGCATGTCTAAGAGGTCATTCTCACCTTTGAACTTGGAAACTGGCGTGTGTTATATTTCGCGTAAAGAGAAAACCTATCTCAAAATTACGAAGTCAACTAAGAATATTTAATTACGTCATTTCGCGAATTAAGCCCACTGCTCCTCATCTTGTTCTAGACTATAGTAACACTGAATGTCGACAAACACAGCGTGGCTCTTAAGACTTTTAAAATTGAATAAATTCCTTATTTGTCCGTTTTTGATAATTATTTTTAAAATGCGAGCATTTTTATGCGTTTTACCATCGCGCATTTGCACCATACTAAATCTCTGACAAGTTTTCACAATCCAAAGCTATAATTAAAAACATTTCTATCTAAAAATATCATTGCATTTTAAACGGTTAACGGACCTGTATTATTTATAGCATCTAATACCTCTCTGCGCATTTCCAGGCGTTTAAACTATAAATACCGTGTTATCTGTGCATGTATAACCCTATCTGCGCATGTTTCAGACTGTTCTTCGATTACCTATGATTAAGGATTCCCGAGGGAATCCGAAACGTCAGGAAAATAAAATCCTTGTTCCAGTGATCGCATCTTCTTCTTCGGAACCTCTCATCTAATTGTGTGGCATGTAAATTCGTACTTTCATCTGTACACTAACCATTCTCGTCTCCTTGGTTATTTCAAATCACTGGGATATGATTAACTGCCTGCAACAAAATGACTACAAGTTTTCTTCTAGCGAACCACACGGCATCCCCTTCGTGTGGATATTTGCTGTGCGCTATCGGTAAACTACGAGGGATACTGCTTTGATATTTCGAAAGACTACCCTGGCAAAGCAAGGAAACTACCGCCAGTGACCGATCTCATGAAATACTAACCGAAATTCTGAAACGCATTTTAGATTAAGAACGTTTGCTTAATTTTATGGTATTATGCCATAATGTTTCGTACTCATCAAGATGCCAGCTATTATTACTTAAATAGAAACATTTCTTTTGATTGATTTTTGATGAGCTTAGAAATTAAAATACATTTCATAGAAATGTGAATTCTTGCACTTTTTTGGTCAAAAATTACTCCTTCGAATTTACGAACAATTTTGGACTCCATCTGCTGCCATATTTGCGTCTGGGTTTTTTCAGTGCCCAGGTTGTATACTTTGCGTGAAAAGAAACTCATAATCCTCTATGGCATTAAGAGGATACTGTGTAATGCTTACAATAATTAGTCACTGGATGTGGCCTATGTTCACTATTTCAAGAGGGACACTTATAAAAGAACAGATGTGATGCTATTCAAACAGACATTTCACTTTCTTAAAAAATCTCATAAGTAAATCTTTTCTCAGAACGGAAACATAGCCTTTCTTCGCGTATAAAAGTTGAAGTAATTTTGTGCAGAATTAGTGCAATAAACCATATTTTAGGACATTAATTCTATAAAACATATTTCAATTTATAAAGGCAGTGAAAGTCAACAGACGAAATGCGTACTTCTTAGGTAGTCCCTTTTAACCGGTGTGGTTTTTGTAGACCACCAAACCGAAGTGCATTCAAAAGCCAGCATCCTGACATATCCAAAATAGTCTGGGAGAACAGTTTTCAATGTTTTGTCTTTCAACCCCACTAAAATACACGGAACGTTAATTCCGCGCTCACTCCGATTTAGATTCTATACGTTTTCCGTTCTTGTATGCCAAGAGAAGCCTGTTTAGACTCCAAGACTGCGTCCCCTTACATTGGCGGTCAGAGGACAGGTGACCATTTTGTCCTCATCTAACATATGCAGGATAAAAAAAAAGCAGAATTGGTCGCATCCATTTGTTTCAGTTTGCTCAGTGGAAGGCAAATTCGTACAGATGCGAAGTCCTTTTCAACAAGCTCTTTTTTACAGCAGCCCAATAATATGCTAAGCTATACTGCCCTTCATTTGGAATTGCACCCTTCAGTAGGACACGGAAATAGGAACTCCCCTGTAATACAAGTAGCCTTGTGCTAAATTTGAGAAGAATGCCTATTCCCGTGTTCTAATCAACCGCTGATCTACCTGGAATTAAGCGCAAGATCACTGACGCCACTCTGCTTCTACTGATGTTGGTCCTCGTGTGAAGTTGCATTCGGTTGTTGGCTAGAATAACGACCTGTTAAATGCAGATGAAACTGGCGTAGACCCGCAAATTTGTACAGGCAACACAATCCCGTGACTTATGGTCAGCAAACCATCCCGTCCAAAATGCAGCCTATCCTCTCGATTCCTTACCAATTATTCAGAATGATGGTCTTACAATATTCAGTAAATATATAGTCAATGCACTATTTTCGATTAGTTGCTTTCTGTCGGACTTGTGTTTTCTCCTTATTGAGTTGTGTTGATGAATTGGAAATCAGTAAGTTCCCATAATGATTATGCAATGCTAATATCTACACAAGTAGCTCCGGCACACTGCATTGAACGTATAAAGTTTCTGTTAACGCCCCTATTCCTCGTCGGCAAACATTCTTCAAGAATACCGAAAGCCGGAAAATTTTGGCCGGTTATTTGTTACTGATTTTTGATAGATGAATGCATCTTAGACCTGACTTACTTCCTTTCTAGAATTCGACGGAATTGCTTCCACGACTAGATAATTCTGTGCCCTCTGGCGGATCGACTAAACATCCTTTCGAAGCTACCTTTCCAGTCATAGTGTCTTGCTCTCCTCTACCATTTTTTTGATTATCTTCACTAACTTCTTTATCGTTTAACCTACAAATTGGTTTTTATGCGGTGACTTCATCGTTATGCTTCTTTGGTAAAGTTTCCAATTGAGATTGGTAGGGGAGAGAGAAAATATTTCGCCACTATCTGTTGCCTGACCTCCACTTGTTTATGATGCCTTTGTAGCGCAACTTCCTTTTTTGTGTAAACTTGTATCTTGTTGTACGTCCTGCCTCTCTCCCCTCCCCCCTCATTAATCTCTAGCAACAGCTGTTTGATCATCTCTGTGAGCTGGGTGCCGAGTTGGATCTGCGCAACTCTAACGGTCAGACGGTCCTCCACGAGGCGGTGCGTGAACAGAACCTCGATCGTGTGCTCTCTCTGCTGATGCTGGGCGCCTGCGCTGTCGTCGCTGACAATGCTGGCGCACATCCCCTTCACTATGCCGTTGAGGTAGGCCTCTCTTCTCCGTCAACGAAACTGACGATACACCCCAACCCAAATGTTTGCTTTTACTTTGAAAGTCTGGCCTTACAAACACCTTGCTAGGTGTACTGTCTAATGAGAAGTTTTAGTGTACCGTTAGGCAAAGGTTCGTCCGCCCTCTCTTTTAAGTATCCTAGACGAAAAGGGATGTTTCCTCCCCCTCCTGCTTTTCCTCTATATACCCCCCTTTACCGTTACC